GTTTAGAAGCTTGAATTTTAGGGATATTTTTGGGTTGCAGCTGATTATTTTGCTAGTGAATATTTTGTTTGTGTGGGCTGTTCTCATTGAGAATTTGGCGAAATTTGGTTGAGGAATGGCTGCTTATGATTATCGAACCCAGCGAGGGTTCGATCAAGAACCCAGCCATCTGCTGGGGGAACCCAGCGGATCACTGGGTTCGATCAAGAACCCAGCGAGGGATCAATTTCTTTTTTTTTTTAATATTTATGTTTAGAAGCTTGAATTTTGGAAAAATATGTCATGATATTTCTGAGTTTTTTTGGAGAGGTTGAAAGAAAGAATTTAGGGCGATGACTGGTTTGGGGAGATTCTGGGTTTGTATTATTTTTTGATTTAATGTTAGAAGGTGTTAGGGTTTGCAGAAGGCGAAAGGGAAGGAAGAAGATGAAAGGAGAAAAAAAGAAAAAAAGGAAAAGGAAATATTTTAAGGGTTTTTTTTGCCATGTCATTGTTTTTTTTGCCATGTTGTCATCCTTTTTCGTTAGGTGATGGGACACGTCAGTCAATTTTTAACGGAAGGACTAAATCGGGGTCGAAATGGTAAACAATAGGGACCAAATCAGGGATTGTTTTAGTTCAGGGACCAAATCGAGGGTTCGTACAATAGTTCAGGAATCAAAAAAGGATTTTAACCTTTAGCATATTATTAAAATGATTAATTTTTTTAATTCATACGAGAGTCATAATATTAAATATATTTATTTATTTAATAACATATAAAAATTATATAAAAAAATAAAATAAAAATATTATCTTTGTAGCACCACCCTATATACAGACTTAAGATTTCGTGTCGGAAGCGTCGCATTTGGAGCTAATATAAACTTTGCCTGTCGAATTGATTTGAGGAGGGGAGAATTAAGGAGTTTGAATTTGCCACGACACACATGCAGATATTCTTTTGAAGCCAAGTGGTGTTTGACTTTTAACCATTAAAAAAAGCAAAACGGTATTAATTCGACATTGACCTAAGGCTTTTTCAAAGTCAAAGTTAGCCTTCATTTTTGAAGGAGGAAAAAAAAAAAAAAACACCAGAAGGCAAATAGTTTTGACTAGAATATGTGGGTCGTGCTCATTAATTGCGCCGGTGTCACCGTTCATCTAGTTGCCACGATATGATCACATTTTCTTTGAACCGCTATACGCACAACAGCAG